GGGTAACAGGCAGGAAGGCCAGGGGTCTCCAAACAGAGGAAATAGGCTGCAAGTGTCAGACATTTTTATCTCTCTTAAGCGGCAGGAGGAAACAAACTTGTGATATATATGTATATATATATATTTTTCCCCCTCTTCTCTATACAAATTTAAAAAGGAGGTTTCTCTTAAAATACTGTGTTGCCATAATGACACCTGGTTCCACCCTGAAGTTAACTATTCTCCAACTCTGAGTTAACCAATGCATTTTTCTTATGGAAATGTTTGTCCTAAGCTATGTTAATATACTATGCATTCACCCCAGACTCTAATGGCTCAGAACTGACTTGACAAGCCATTATGTCATACTCAGACATTGTTCCCCTAATCTATGTAAACGAAACTATTTGTATGGTAATCTGCCTTTCTACAGGATTCAAGTCAATCATTTTATGGCCCAGGATGACTCATCTGGTGCCAAGATTATCCCAAAATACATCTTATGGATGAGGGGCCTGGTGCCATTCTGAGTTTTAAGAAATTCCTTTCTTTCATCAACAGACTGCTAGTGACTATATAACATCCAGCTAAAAACTAGATGGGGGGCACTCTTTCTGCTCCCTTCTGATGCCCATGTCAGAAGCTTTCTCCATCTCCTTTATACTTTAATAAAACTTTATTACACAAAAGCTCTGAGCGATCAAGCCTCATCTCTGGCCCCGGAATGAATTCTTCTCCTCCGGAGGCCAAGAATCCCGGCGTCTTTTCATGGGTCAGCAACAACCATTCACCTTTCCTATTATATATTCTGTTAAAATAAAGGCGTTAGCCTCCTTGTTAAACAGAATCTTCACACTGTGCTCTTGTCAGTCTTACTCTCGCAGCTCCAGTGAGTGACTTGCATTTCATCAGTGGTAGCAAACCCTGGGGAGTCTCACCAAGGTGGCCTGTGGCCTTTAAGGTCCCTTAGACCCTTAGAACTCTGGTCTGCAGCCAACACAGCTCCAGCTCAAAGTTACTGTGTCTAAAAAAGACACCAAGAGATTGGGCAAGAGTTCCATCCTGGGGGCCCTGCTACCATTGGGTGAAAGCACAAGGAATGCTGGACCTGGTCTGACAGCACTTAGGGATGTGATAGTAACTTTCTGTCAGGGGGCCAAAGATTAGAGGCCGTGGGAACACTTCAGAACCCACACCTCCATGACAAGCCGATGCTGATTTCCCATCCTTCTCCCTGACAGGGGATCATGTAACTCCAACTTCGGAATGTGTTATGATACTTCTGTTTCATTGTGGGTCTGTCTGATATCCTGGAGCTCCTTTCACATGAAACAATGACGCCCTCCCAATGCAGGAGAAATACTGCATTCTCACCCATGGCCCCGCTTACCCCCATGTACCCCGGAGGTCCACAGTGAGCTCTGCCAGAGGCCAAGGACACACACAGGCCCAAGTCCAAAGCAGGGTCAGAAATACTAGGCCACGAAGGGCAGGAAATATTAATAAAATGCTCACTAGATGGAATAGAAGACATCAAGTTCTGAGCAAGACTAAATAAATATCCTTTGACACAATCTTCAGCTGAGCCAGCTAACAAAGTCACTTCCCCAAATCTCCAACACACACACACACACACACACACACACACACACACTCACACAGAGACACACACACACACATCCATCCCTTTCCATTTCCCTAACTTCGAAAATTTTCTATGAGCTTCTTCAGACCCATGATCTGAATTCTAGAATGAATTCAATAAATCTGTCTCTATCATTGAGAAGAGGGTAAATTCAAATGTGGGCTTCCCCAGTGCACTGTGGTAAAGAATTTGCCTGCCAATGCAGGAGACACAGGAGACATGGGTTCGATCCTTGGGTCAGGAAGAGCCCCTGGAGAAGGGAATGGCAACCCACTCCAGTATTCTTGCCTGGAAAATTCCATGGACAGAGGAACCTAGTATAGTCCATGGGGTCACAAAGAGTCGGACATGACTGAGCGCCTGAGCACACACAAATTCAAACATTCCTATGAAGATGTCTCACAAACCACTTAAATGGCTCAAAGAGAAATCGTTCATCAGGAACCCTTGGGTGTTTCTGTGTCTGTTCCACCAGCCTCTGTGTCTCCGCATCCCGGGATAAGCCCCTTGATTCTGGGTTCTAGCCTGTTGGTCCCCCACGTGCACTTGGCGGCACTAATGTGACAAAGCTACCTGTAGCCTGACCTGAGGACATGTCCTTTTGATTTGCTCAGTCCATTGTCTATTTGGTGATTTTGCCAGAATCTTTCCAGCTCACTCTTGGTAGCTTCTGTTGGGACCTCTCCCCTAGGAGGGCCTCCTCCTCTTAGTGGGTGCCCAGGGAGCCTGGTCCAGCCTTCAGATCACATCCCTACATCAAGGATGAAGATGCCACTGAGAGCTGGCTGGGGCACCACTTTCTAGTGATGATGAAGGTGATACTCTTGTGTTGAAATGGCTCAGCCTAAGGTCCTGCCCTTCACTGCAATGTGCTGGCCTAACCAGTGAGGAGGATGCTGTGAGCTGGGGACCATTCAGAAGAGTAACAAACCCAGACAGTAACACACCCAGGAAATTCACAGGCAAGGGCAGAGGCCCCGTCCCCCTAAGACTTTGTGAGCCTCTGTGATTTGACGAAATGAACTTCTAGTAGCAACTCCGTTTCATTAACACCTGACACAAGACATTCAGAGTCTCTTTGTCTTTGACATGAAATTTTGGCTTGGCCTCAGAGCATGCCTAAACATCCCTCGGTAAAACCCAGCAATGACTTCTTGGAGTTATGAGTGTGCAAGAGGATAGACAGGGATGGAGAGAAGCTAATTCAGATCTCTCGAGGATATTAGGTTTCCATCCTTCAAAATTCTGAAGGGCACACGTCTCTCTTGGAGAAGCTGGAGGGCAGGTTTTGTATCTGTTGAGTCAGACCCTGCTCTGCTGCTGGCCATGCAGTGTCCTCAGGAACACGGCTCAAGTCCTCTGATCTCAGCTTCCTTGTGTGCAGGAGAGGGGATGAGTCCCTCTGTCAGGGTCACTACTATGCATTGTAACTTCTGAAACTCATGCACTGAAGCCTTAACCCCCAATGTGAATATATCTGGAGACAGAACCTATAAGGAGATAATTAAGTTTCAATGGGATCATACGGGTGGGGCCCTGATCCAACAGGATTAGTGTCCTTATAAGAAGAGACACTAAATGGAATCTAAAATATGACACAAATGAACTTATCTACGGAACAGACTCACAGACATAGAGAATGGGCCTGTGGTTACCAGGGGTGAGGGTACAGGTGGGGGAAGGTTGGACTGGGAGTTTGGGATTAGCAAGTGCGAACGATCATATATAAGATGAGTAAACAACAAAATCCTAGTGTATAGCACAGGGAACTACATTAAATAGCCTGTGATAAACCATAATGGAAATGAACATGAAAAAAGAATGAATGTGTATATTAATATATGTATAACTGAACTGAACTGATGACTAAATCACTTTGATTACAGCAGAAATTAACACAAGACATTAAATCAGCTATAGTTCAGTTAAAAAAAAAAGAGACACCTAGGGTTTTCTTTCTCTCTTTCCCTCCCTGCTGTGTGAGGACACAGGGAAAGGTAGTCTACAAGCCATGAAGACAGCCCTCACTAGGCACCAGGCCTGCTGGAACCTTGATCATGGCCTTCAAGCCAGGAAGAAAATACATTTTTGTCGTTTAAGCCACCCGGTCCACGGTCTCTCGTTAAGGCCGCCTGAGCTGAACAAGACAGTTGTTGAGAATAGTATGGCCCAGAGTGGCCGCAGCACATAAGCAGCCTAGTCGTCATGCCTCTCTGCAAAGGATTTTCATATTGCCTTTCCACCAAGGGGCTCTCAAAGGACTCTGAAAATATGAGATATTTCCAACAATAAAATCCCTTATATCTCTTGAGTTTGACAATTATCAGGAACAGAAATGGGATGGTGGTTAGAAAGGAGAGGACTCTCAACAACCACACAACCACCACACAACGAGAATATTGGTAAGAAGGTCCCAAGATTACTCCAGGTCCTGGGTTGAGGTGTTTCCTCAAGCCTTTATTATCCTCTACGGAAGGCTTACTCCAAATAGCCCCAGCTCTGGCAAGGGCTGGAATAAGTCATGCCATAATGTGTTCTGTTACCATGTATTTTACAAAAGTTCTCAGAAATTTTGGCTCCCTGAACAGAGTCAGGCAGGCATTGCCGAAACTTGCAGAGTCAACATTCCAAAATACGGTCCATCCAGAGGTAAGCAGAGAGGCTGACGAGGAAAGACAGCGTGCACCATGCCCTTGCAGATGAGCCATTCCGGCTCCGCTAATTAAGGAGGATGGAGTCTGATTGATCCTTGAGGGGAAGATTATCCAGGGAAGCCTTGGCAACCGCGAGCAGTAATGCTGGTGACTCAGAAAGGGTCTCTGCCTCCACAGACCACGACCTGTTCTGTTCAGTAAGTCATCTTTCGGCTCAATGTTCTTCCAGCCAAGGGTGGAATTCAATAATCCTGTGCCCTTCCCAAGTTTTCAAGCCGGAAAATGCATTCCTCAGCTTCCTACTTTGCAAAGCGGAAAATTCCCCTGGAGACCAGATGCTGGAGAGTGTGACTTAAGTGTTTGTGGTTCTCTTGTTGATTGCCAGTGGACCAGTACCTAAATTCAGATCTCTGTGCTTCTGGACTGTAGAAGACTGCAGTTGCTGTGTCAAATTTAAAGTCTGTTTTCTTTAATATTTTATTTGGCTATGCTGGGTCTTATTTGAGGCACACGGGACCTTTTGTTGTTGTTGTTGCAGCATGTGGGATCTAGTTTCCTGACCAAGAATCCAACAGGCCCCCTGCACTGGGAATGCAGAGTCTTAGCCACTGGAGCAGCACGGAAGTTCCCCGCTTTCTTTAGCCATCCAAGTGTTACAATTAAACAGAACATTTGTGAATAAGAATTCAGTAAATCCATCTAGGAAGTTTTCAATTACCTACCTCTAATGTAAGCAAATGCTGCCAAGGAGTGGCTGACAATCACGCCATCTTTCCTCAGAATCCTCGGTTCCCTTGGGTCAAGGCCTACACCTGTTTCATTAAAAACAAACAAACAAAAAAAGCAAGGCTGATTAATCACAGCTGTTCCCAGTTTGCATTTTGTTCCTAAACCAGGACTGCCATCATAAATAAAAAGCCACAGAAATCCAATAAGTGGGCCTTTGACAAAATTAGGGACGACTAAGCCAGAAAGAGCATTGTAGCAGATAGTAGCTTACGGCCTCTGGGGACCCTGGGAATGTTAGATAGGGCTTTCAGGCCTCTACTGTAGGGGGACCAGGATATTGATGGGAACCTGGTAGGAGCCCTGTTAGAAAGAGCAGAGAGGATGGGAGAGGCAGGGCCTGGTGCAGAGCTGGAGGGGCAGAGCTAGAATATTAACAACAATCATCCCAGGCTTTGAGACTAGGGATTTACTTTACTTGATATTTTCCTGTGTGTTCCATATCAAGCATACTTTACTTTTATACTTAGAGGGAAAAGACTTCATAAATGGAATTCAAGCAACACAAGAAAAACTCTCAACCCACAAAGTACAACATCTTACACAGACTGTCTTGGGGGCCTCTGTAGTTTCTACTAGGAGCCCCCAAGAGTCTAAATTCCATTCCAGATTTGATTTTAAAGACAAACCCAAAATGTTCATTCCCTTATTTACCAAAGCCCAGGGAAAACCTGAGGCAGAAGGGCATATATGGATGGAGGTCTGCAGGTCCAGCCTGGGTCTGACCCTTCAGATTCCCAAAAGGGATCGTCTTTCCAACAAGCCCATCAGATAATCCAGGAACCTCAGATTTATTTCTGAGCAGATCTCCTTTTTCAAGGTGATTTTTTCCTTTAGGAAATAAAGGGGAACAGAAGGAGGATTTACCCTACTTATAATTCAGAACACCCCAGGTTGGCCACCATGAGTAACCATCTGCCACAGCTCTGCCGTTCTCAGAGCCGGCAGTGCACACTCTGAGGGCTCTCTGTGTCCTAACCAGTGTGCATCCACCTGTGGTCACGTGGGGCTGTGCACCTTAACGAGAAATCTTGGTAGTAAGCTATAAACATTACCATAGTCGCCATCTTTCTGCTTCACAGAAGGTTTTAGATTAGCAACTGATGGATCAATTGCTGTGAGTATATTCTTGGGAACTGAAAACCAAAAAGAGATATTTTAGATACTTTGGACACTTAACAGATCTTTAAAATGTCCTGTAGATAAGATTTAAAAAGATCAATTTTCAAATCAGTACATATATCATTCACTCTGCTTGTCCAACACACTCACACAGATACACCAATGGTACCCACGTGATCATCAAATGTCCCAGAAAGTTTACCCCTTAGATCTATCTTGTAGTATTAAAAAAAAAAACACCATGGAGAACAAATAAAGAAGATATGGTATGTCTATCCCATAGAATAATATTTAGTTGGCTTCCCTGGTGGTTCAGTGGTAAAGAATGTAATGTAAGAGCTGCAGGTTTGATCCCTGCCTTCGGGAGGATCCCCTGGAAAAGGAAATGGCAACCCACTCCAGTATTCTTGCCTGGGAAATCCCATGGACAGAGGAACCTGGTGGGCTATAGTCCATGGGGTTGCAAATGAGCCAGGCAAGACTTAGCGATATGGTGTATCTATCTAATAGAATAATATTTAGCAACAGCAAGGAATGGAGTCCAATCGTTGGGATCCTCTTGGTTTGGTTCCAGGACCCACCTTGGATACCAAAATATACAGGCGCTCAATTCCCTCATATAAAATGGCATCTGATTTGCATGTAACCCACCCAATATCCTATCATATACTTTAAATAATCTCTAGGTTACTGATAATACTTAATACAATGTAAGCAGTCATAAATACAATGTAAATGTATTATAGTAAATAGTTTGTCAATGTGGAGTAAATTCAAGTTTTGCTTTTTGGAATTTTCAGGAACTTTTTTTCAAATATGTTCAGTTTTGTGGTTGGTTGAATCCACGCATGTGGAACCCACAGACACAGAAGGCCAACTGCTGCACCATGGATAAACCTCAAAAACATTACGCTCAGTGAAGGAAGCCAGACACAAGAACACATACGGCATGATCCCATTCATATGAAATCTCCAGACAAAGGCAAGTTTATAGGGACAGAAAGTAAGCTAGTGGTTCCCATTGACTCAGTGGTAAGAATCTGCCTGCACTGCAGGAGACAAGGGAGACATGGGTTCTATCCCTGGGGCGGGAAGATCTCCTGGAGGAGGAAATGGCAACCCACTCCAGTATTCTTGCCTGGGAAATCTCATGGACAAAAGAGCCTGGCGAGCTACAGGCCAGGGAGTTGCAAAAGAGTAGGACAGGACTGAGTGACTGAGCACCTCAAGACCGAGGTGGGGATGGGGAGTGACCACGTGTGCTCATGAGGGAACTGTGGGGGATCACGGAGGTGTTTTAAAATTGGAGTATGGTGAAAGCTGCACTTATGTACATGCGCAGTCGTGTCCGACTCTTTGTGACCCCAGGCTCCTCCGTCCATGGGGTTTCCCAGGCAAGAATGCTGGAGTGGGTCATCATTTCCTTCTTCATGGGATCTTTCTAAGCCAGGGATTGAACCCATGTCTCCTACCTTGGCAGGCAAATTCTTTACCACTGAGCCACCTGGGGAGCCAGGTGAAAGCTGACAGCTCTGTACATTTATCAGAAATCACTGAATTGTTTCTACATGAACTGGGTGAATTTAAGGTATATAAATCACACCTTAAGAACGTTAATGCTGAACATCAACTTCCCCGAGATACAGTGAAACAAAAGGAATGGAACCAACTCAAAACCCAGCACTGACCTCTCCCGGCTGCAATTTTGCTTTCTGCCCACAGCTCTTAACTCTTCACTTTCTTAATAAGCCTACAGAGAATCTGAAGTCTCCGTGCTAGAATGCAGCTCTCCATATTGTAAGAAAGGATGACAACGACAAAGAGAGAGGGCAGTGTAACAGATTCCCATAGAAGATGGTTCAAGAGTCTGCTAAATTGACCCTAAGAATAAACTATCCGGATCTCAAGACCCTCCAGGCAAGGCAGAGGCGATGGTAGCAGGAGTCAAAACCGGAGGGCAAAGCACGAGTTCTGAAGACCCCCGCACTGCAGCCCAGCTGGGAGAAGGGAGAGGAAGCCAAGTGTTTTTGCTGCAGAAAACTGTTTATTTTTATTTGTTCTTCAGCCCAGCTGGGATCTGGGAGAAGTGGCAACGGGAAATAGAAGTGAAGCCAATACAAACTGGGCAAGTTCAACTGTGCTGATTTTTTTTTTTTTTTTTTTTTGCCAAAGCAGTGGTAAGACACTTCTAGCAGCAAGAAAACTTCATTTACATTCTCAGAGTGCTTAACAGAAGTCTTTTGGGAGATGTCCCAGGACGTTCCTACATTGTGAATATTCCACGAGCAGCAGGCCCCGGTGCCTTTGTGACCATCAGCAGCGGGGGTCACTTTCAGGGCGGCATGGTGACATTGCTGGAGGTGGTGGATGCTGTCCAGCCCTTCCCTAGAAATGCCCCTTGGCCAGCAAGCTGCTGATCCCGGGACCCCTGGTGGTGCACCGGATTGCTGAGCTGTGTTGCCCCGGATGCTTTCTGATGGAACAGGCTTTGCATCGTTTCTACACCGTGATCCGTCGGCAGGAGTGAGCTTTCTCTGCATGAGTGGTGCTTCTTTCCTGTGTCTCATCTCTTGGCTTGTTCTCAAGATACAGTGGGAGGAGAGCTGGGATCGCTGAAAATGCCAGAGGCTTTTCAATGCAGGAAAGACGGACTGCTCGGAAACGAAGGGCATTGTGGGATGAGTTTTGCAGAATAAAACATGAAATCGCCTGTGAATGCTATAGGCTGGGCTTCCCTTGTGGCTCAGCTGGTAAAGAATCCTCCTGCAATGTGGGAGACCTGGTTCGATCCCTGGGTTGGGAAGATCCCCTGGAGAAGGAAACGGCTACCCACTCCAGTATTCTGGCCTGGAGAATTCCTTGGACTGTATAGTCTATGGGGTCACAAAGAGTCAGACACGACTGAGCGACTTTCACTTTTTCCACATGCTATAGGCACAGGGAACTTGCCCATTTACTGCTGGAAAATGACTCTCATGGTGGCAGAATCTTTCAGACCTTTAAAATAACAACAGTTATGAACACACCTGTCAGATTCTTGTATCTCCTGTTTCAAATTGATTTAGAATAAGGACAGACACTGGGTATGAATTATGACCACCCCACAAACCCAGCCCCCTCCATCTGAGGTGAAAAGTGTTGGTCGCTCAGTCCTGTCCAACTCTTTGCAACCCCATGGACTACAGCCCACCAGGCTCCTCTGCCCATGGGGATTCTCCAGGCAAGAACACTGGAGTGAGCTGCCATGCCCTCCTCCAGGGGATCTTCCAGACCCAGGGCTCAAACCTGGGTTTCCTGCATTGCAGGTGAATTCTTCACTGTCTGAACCACCGGGGGAGCCAGCAAACCACTTTTCACGGAGCTCCCACTAAGTGTGGGATCGTGTGAAGTCGTCTTAGTGACTGAGTCCTCTTAGTGAGGATGCGTAACATTCCCATTCCTGCAGATGGGAAAACTGAGGCTCAGAGCGCACCATCACCTAGTAAAGAGTGAAGCTTCAATTCCTAGTCTCACTCACATATGCCCTTGCTCTTTTCTGTGACCCTGGGACATTAAGCTTCTGGCAACTGGATAAAGGAGAGGACGAGATGGTTGGACGCATCACCGACTCAATGAGTGTGAGCAAGCTCTGGGAGATGGTGAAGGACAGGGAAGCCTGGCGTGCTGCAGCCCATGGTGTCCCAAAGAGTCGGACACGACTGAGCGACTGCACACAACAACCAAGACGTAAAGCGATTCCCACTCAGACCGTCCCTCTTAAGTCTGTTACATAAGACCAGAGATGACCATTCCAATGGGCTCCAACGGTTCACTAAATTTAGGCAGGCCCCTTCCTGAGTTTATTTTCTCCCCGAATAAGTCTGTGTGAAGCCTGGACCAGAGCGGCTTTAATAAAGCAGCCTCCACGGGTTGAAATTAGAGCCCCAAGTAATTTCTCACATCAGAGACAAGAGACCTCTGCTTTACTGTCGTTGCTTTTCACTAGGTACCCACATTGCACGTGCATCTCCGAATCCTGGCACCCCCTCATCCTGCCTGTTCCAAACCTGCACCACCCATCCCTCCTGTCCCCCAGTGCCAGCGCCTGCTGAAGGGGGCACCCCGCATTCCGGCACCACCGTCCCTCTTGTCCCCACATCCTCTGGGCGCCCAGCCCCTGGGAGGAGCCGCAGACGCCTGGCTGAGGTCCGCATGTTCCCTGTCCCTCTCAGGAACCGTCAGGGCAGGGATGCGGGATGCTCCTCTGTCTCGGTGACCCTCAGGGATCACTGGCTTTGGGCCCAGGGAGAAGCCCTCTCCGAGAAGGAGAGGGGAAAAGCTGACCGAGTTCTCTGGGTCTGCCTCCTCCTACGAGGAAGAAAGTCTAAAACCTAATCCCGTCCAAGAAGTGTGGCTAATAACAAAAGCTGGATAAAAATTTGAGAGCCAGGACCTCATCTAGCCATGCATTAAAGAAGAGTGCTCAAGCGAAACATCTCCCAGCACAATCAATGACCACGGGTCTGACATCAGCCAGACCTGCTGCCTACAGTTCAAAGAGCAGAAGGCCTGCAGCCTGGATCATTCCCCTGAGGGTACATGGAGAGCTGAAACTCTAGCCCAGCCAAAGAGCAGTGAGGGAGGGAGAGGCAGGATTAACTGAAGCCAAAAAATAGGAGGCGTGTTCTTATTAAAATGCAAATTACTTACGTTCCCAAAGAAAACCCTCAAAGGCTCCCCTCTGCCCTGAGTGTTAAGTTGCTAAATCAGGTCCAACTCTCTGTGACCCCATGGACTGCAGCCCACCAGGCTCCTCTGTCTGTGGGATTTCCCAGGCAAGAATGCTGGAGAGCGTTATCACTGCCTTCTCCAGGGGATTTCCCTGACCCAGGGATTGAACCCAGGTCTCCTGCATTGCAGGCGGATTCTTTTACCACCTGAGCCACCAGGTGCCCTCAGCTACAAGCCAATCCTTAGTCTCCCATCTCCGAGGCCCCGAGGCCCTGTGCTCACCTCCCAATATCTGCCTGCCCTT